TTTAGAACAAGGTCTCCTACTGCATGAAAGAATCACACAGCAGAGCAACAAGAACAGAAGAATCTAGTTAGCGTGGATTTCTGTGTGCAATTCAGGTAGCAGATTAACAGCAGCTACTCGTGTGCTCGTCTGAGCATGCTGAACAGCCCCTCTCCATGGTAGAGCTTCTAACGCTTAACGCCACCAGATGGAGCCAACAGTTCTCAGGAAGATGTGCCTGTACCATCCCAAGAACCTGCAGAGCATTAGGCACACACAACCCCGCTGGGTAAGTGTCCTGGTTGGGGCAGAACACAGGCAAGGATGAAGGCAGAAGCCCAGTTAGGTATGTGCAATCATTCTCCAGTTTCATTGTGCTGGAAATTAAGGAAGGCCCGTTCCTCACAAGCATCTACAGATTATCTGAAAGAGAAGGTGCCATTCTGGGCTTTGGGTACAGCTGTGCTCAGAACCCTCTCCTGCCTCCTACACAACACTTTTCATGCTACCCTTTCTCTCCTGCAGAATATTTTAAAAATTACTTCACAGGAAAGGAGAGCTATGTAACCCACCACGGCAGTCTGAAACACAGGGCAAACACCAGGCAAGCACCATGTAAACAAGATTATGTAAATTGATGTAATCTTGGCCAGAAGTCATCAGCAAGGGGATGTTCTGCTTCCAGTTTGTACAGCAGTGGCAGCAGAAACTGCACCTTAAGTTTACTGTGAATCCCATTTCCATGCTACTCCAAATCAAGTGGCATAACAGTGCAGTGAGTCTGTCCTGAACCACGCTGCCTCACAGCCACCTCAGCGCCTCTGCTGCTGTTTGTTCATTGCAAACCAACACAGGGAACAAAGTCTGGCACACTCAGAAGACTAGGGAGTCATTTCCACACAATGTTGCTTATTCTGCTATTTGAGTCACAAGACAGACAGACAGACAGAAGAAGAAGGAAAGCAACTCTTGTCATTTACAGAGTTCATACAAGCTGTCTTACCAATTACGTAGTGGAAAGTGAACTATGAACAATTCAAACTACTGTAGCAGTTTAGTCCTGAAATATATGCAGACCACTTCAGGAAAACCAATGATGAGATCCCAGTCACCTTCTCCTCCCCTCCCTTCCCATAGTCTGTAATATAATTATGTTACAGATTTGACACAAAGGTTAGTTCCAGACACTGAAAGTCAGCAGTTGCCTGGTTCAGGAATTTGGGGATTAGACATGCTTTTAGAGGGATGTAAAAATCAATAACAAACAAATATTATGCTTGTTTTTCTTTTTATTATCAATAGTAATAAAAATCAGTTGTATTAGCATGATAATGAAAAGTGACCAGTTTTATAGACATTAAAAATGTTTGTGCAAGTTAGAGACAAAGCTCTGAAGCTATGTAAGAAAAAACCCAAGAATTTACATCATAGTATAGCATACATAGTTTAGAGGCAGTTTTATTAAATCTTGTAGTCACAATCACTTCTACACTAAACCTCTTTCTTGGTGTTAGAGATAACACCTTCCCCTCCCAAGAGGAACACCTGGCATTCTCATGAAGTGTGGAGATTACAGTGAAAATAGCTTTTTTTGTTCCTCTTCCCTCCTTCTCCCAACTATAAGTCATTGCAGCATATGCTTAGAGCAATCAAAGAAAGCTTCTGTCTACATAACCTCTGAGTTGAACTGATAAACAGTATCCTCTTTCTGGGCAAGAATTGATAGACTTGTCAGCCCCAGGTACTGGGTTAACATTTTGGATTTAGTTAGATGCATTTCCTCATCTCTTACTACATTCCAGATTGTAGCTTTGTGCCTTAGACCCAAAGTATTCTTAAGCATTAGCCAGCCAGCCATGTGAAGTTCCCACTGAATCCCATTAACATCTCACTGAAGTTTAATGCCCAGTAAATGTATGCATACATGTTTCTCTTCATCAAGCCAAGTGCTCAGCTAGAAATTGCAGTAAAGGCATATCAGTCTGTATAGAACACATATGGCACAAGTCATTGAAGAAGCACTTCATGCTGTATCTGTACTCTCATCTGGACATATGACCCTCTAAAAAAAAAAAGCAGTAAAGTCTGCCCTTGGACTCCTGGAGTTATTCTGAAGTGGAATTTTATATAAGAACTTAACCCCCGTTGTAACAGGGGCTTGTCTCATACATGCTTGCTCAAAACAGAAGACTGGAGCACTTGAATACCCACAGCTAAGCCACATATAGAAGATTGCATATAGCAGTAAACAGCTCCCTGACTACATTACATTAAGCTATTATGCAAGAATAATATTTGAATACTTAAGTGCAAGTGCATAGTCAAGTTGGACATGACCTCTCCAGCTTCAAATATCCAGTTACTTGCCTGCAGCCATGCTCCAGAAAGATTTAAGAGCACATTATACTGATGAAGAGAAATCTTGGCCTTTAATTACCTAACATGCAAAAGCTGCTAGAATGGGTCAGCTTCAATCCAGCTGTCAGTTGCCTCAGCTACACAGCATGGCTAGCAGGCAGCCACACACTCCCCCTTTCACCAAAGTCCTCCTTGTTTGATGCACCTGATCTGCAAGTGCTCATTTAGATTAGAAGACAAAGCTTCCTTTACTCTGCTCACAGGAAACCCTCAAGGCCAAAGGAAGCATTTCTCTACACCACTTTTTATTCACTCTAGTCAACCCACCTGATGTTGATGTCCATTGATGTCCAATGAAGCACACCTGGAAGTCATTCAAGGACCCTCAAATTTTATTGCCCCTATTCAGAAGGGCATGCATTCAGGCACTTCCACCATATGAAGTGGAGGCAACAGGATTCCAGTCCAGGGGAGCAGTTTTATTGCCTTCCTAGTACAAGTCAGAATGCTTGTTGCCCACTGGTACAAAGTAGCCAAGGTAGCTGCCTTGTTTATCATGCTTTCAGCTGTAATTGGAAAGTTGTACTTATGACAAGCTTCAGTTTAAGAGAAGAATACTGTAAAGCTGCTGTATTTAGTCTCCAGGCCTAGTCTTTCTGGAAAAGGTCACAAGCACAGAACACTGAAGATAAGCAGTATCAAGCCATGAAATAGCAAGCACCTTCTTCCAAGTAAGTCCACCTCAGTCACAGAGCTTTATCAGTTAAGGAAAAAAAACCCCAAACACCTGAGTGAGAACAGCACATGGACCATAAGAACATCAGTGGAAGACTCACTGTTCTGAGCAGAAGTTAATCTGTCCTATCAAATACTGTCAGGTACTTTAGGACTAAAGAGATCAAAGGTCAAGGTATGCAAGTCTCTTGAGCCAACACAGCCGAGCTGCTCATTGTGAGCTTTGCCAAGTTCTTTGTTCATATAGCGAGGAAAGCTTATTCAGTTTTGTTAGACACATTTTAAAAATCCACCTCAGAGGGCCTTGACCTAGATAAGCCTGTAATGTGTACTCAACTGTTGTTTATCCTTTAGGTTAACTAAGGACTTAACCTTTAGGTCTCAACTAAAACCAAACCTAAGTGAGTTGCCTTCCTCCAGGAGACATTCATTTGCTGTATGCACAATGTGCACTCAAAAATGGACTTTATGCATGGAAGTTAAAGAGGAAGCTTTGTTAGAAGTTACAGCTCTAAATGTCCCGTTAGGTGCTTAGGCTTTAAATATAGGTGATACAGCTCAAGTGAAAAGTCCTGCAAGCCAGCAGGCTCCCAGCCTCTGCTTCAAAACTGTACTGTCAAGTTGACTTTGTAATACCAATTAATTACACTGTTCAAAGATAAATATTGCCAGAATAGGTTAACAATTCTTTCTGTGCATACAAGACAACATTAACGAAGAAGGAATTTAACTTGACAAAAATGAAGATTACAGCACCTTTTATTTAGTACAGTTTCCCCAATCCAATGAGTTGCCTGACAAGTTGAACTAGTTATGGAAGACAATGAGTTTGCGATAAGTCCCTGTGAAACCTCAGACCAACAGAGGTTCTGATATCTAACACATCTTACTTTTTTCAAAGTTCAGAGCTGGAATGCACATGAGCAATCTAGTACATGTTAAAAAGTGTTTTTCAACCTCAAATTACAATACTAAGTACTGAACAGTATTCACTACTCCCTCACCTCAAAAAGAAACAGTATTTGTTAATTCAGTGCTGCAGCAGTGCTTCATTAAACAACCACATGGCATATTCCTTTCACCAAGTAACTGTGTTTTAAGCATCTGGGTAACAAGTAAGATACAGTCACTACTTTAAATCTCTACTCCTTCAAAACAGAAGATAGTCATAATTCATTGAGACACTCCACAATCAGAAGAGACAGTTACTTTCCACAACAGTGACAGAATTTTTTGGCAACTGCACTTAAACCGCATCAGAAAGCTCAGTTCAGTCAGCTGACAAGAGGACCTGCTAAGTACTGACTTTCACTTCTATTTTTAGGCAGGTTTTTGTTGATCAATACATGACCACCATTGCATAACTAACAAAACTCAACATGCATCTTCATGTGCTAGGTTGCTGTGCATCAGAAACAGTACACACAAAATTAACAGTGAGTAACAGACATGGCAACTGCTTAACTTCATTTGCTTTTTGACACCATACAACTCACTAGCCAGCTGATCATTGAGAGGTAGCACATATGCCTCACCTATTCCAAGTCATGATTGTGTGATGTGACCCATCCTTACTCAAAGTTTTCATCTTCGGCAAGATAAGAGACAGATGCAGATGTTCACACTTTTCCAACATGATCACAAGTGTTCCAATATAAACAAAACCAATGAAATCAATACTTTGATTTTCACTATTCCAGTACCAGGGAGGGGAAGGATGAATGTAGAGTGAGTGTAATTGACTCTAGCCAGAATAGATGGAAGAAACCCAGGACAGCATTTCAAGGAGATATTGAAAATATTATTCCTTTTGAAGAAAGGCTTACAGTCATTGTCTCACCCCATACCACTAATTTAAGGATGAGAAGACAGACCAGCAGGGAATGCATCTAGCCAGTATTTAAATATCAACTTTTGCATTGACTAAGTAAGTCTGAATTGAGTCCATAGGCTTGATTCATGAATGCTGTATTGACTAAACAGAACAGAGAGGAAAGTTTGTTTTGAGTTGACTCTCAAGTGTCAGTTGCTATTTCTTACATGGAGTGTGGGGAAGAAGCCAGCAGATTTCAGTGTAAGAAATACCAGTGACAACTAACAGAAGATGGAGACTCGAACCCTTTACCAGATGTCATCTAGCTTTTCTGCAGTTTGCAACATCAAGGAGGGCAGTGACAGCGGCAAAAAAAGTGTTTGAACCTGAACAGCTGTGCTTGTTAAGGCCAGTAGAGGTTCAAGAGAAACATCAGAGTAAACTAGGAAGTTAACACCAAAGTACTTTGTATAACCAAGTAGGACTGTAGTTCTGAACCTGTTTCTAGTTTTGAAAGACATGGGGAAGACGGAGCCCATTTCAGTTTAAGTAGGCATAAGTTTTGTTGGATACCAGAAATGGTTTCAAAGTTCTGTTTTCACATTTTGAAGGTGTGATATGCAAAGCAAAAGATAAGGGAGTCAATACAGACTTCCTTTCATGAATCCAGCCCTATATCCTTAGTGGTATCTTATCTGTGCCACCTGTAGATAGATATTTATAGTTCCCAAGCATCACAGTAAGCAACATCTTTCTTTAAAGCTTTTCTTGTTCTTGCCACTTTTCTTGCCATTCTTGTCTTTGTTTTCTGACATTTTCTTTGCTCTGATTTCTCTCATTAAATCAAAGAATACCTACAAGGGAAAAATAAAGAAAGATTAAACAAGATCTGACACCAGAAAGCAGATAAAAACTACTGTATTCAGCAGCAAATAAATATACAGCACCACACTGTTCCTAATACAGCCGAAGTGGGTCTAGACATAGATCCCAGTGACAAATGCAACATCAGAATTATGCAGCATGTCGATCAGTGGCAAGAAGTAAGACAATCTTACCTGGTGACCAAATCATTCAACAGCCCCATTTTAAGATCTTTTTATCAGTCCTGCACAAAAAGTAGCATTCAGAGTTCATGAGAACACTTGTCTGCCTAGCAAACATTTCCAGGGAAGTCACTCTTGTTAATTACACAAAGTATTTAGTCCAGTCCTTACCGTGCAGTTACTAGCACGCCCTGCTGGGTAGCATTCTGCCTGTTTTTTTTCATTCAAAAGCTGCAGCATTCAAGTGACAGTGTCAGAGACAGAAAATTCTCTGACTATGTTACAAGAAAGATTCAGAGAAAGTAATTACTCTGATGTTTTCTCCAACATTTGAGCTGATTTCACCCCTGTACATCTGACATTTAGGTACATAGCACTTCAGATGCAACAGCTATTTTACTTTAAAGGGTTACTGGGAAAAGTGATTTTTAGGATTACAGAACAAGAGCTTAGTGTCACTCTATAGAGTTAGGCCTTTTTTTAAAAAAAATAAAAAATGGGGAACTACACAGGTCTTTGACACTTGGAAAGAAGACCACACTACTGATCAGAAACAGAATAGTTTAGTATCCAAAACTCTTAAGTTGTTTTTTGGGGTTTTTTTAATTCTGCTACAGTGTCAATGCACAGCCATCACAATGGCTGATAACTTGTTGCAACATACACAAAACAGTGCTTATATAGAGGATAACCAGTATGTCACACAAGCTAGCTAGAGAAAACCTATGAGAGCAACTCTACAACACCAGGCTAGTACCCTCCAGACACAGCTGCACTGCTGTTAATCCCAACTGATCAGAAAGCTAGTCTAAGTATAAAACAGGCTAGGCGTTTTCTAGTCACGTGAGACAGCTCATAGGCTAAAGTGAGTCTTTTTGTTTTACATCTTTCATGTTTTACATCACCCAGTTTACGCATCTGACAGTCTGACTTTCTAGTAACATTCCACAAAGTCAGAATGGTTCTTTACCAAATTTAAACTATGCTATGTCCTTTATTACCAAAAGGTCTCAGTTCAAGAGTTCCATATATACTGTTTTAACCACGAATGAGAAAGAGTTCCTACTAGGTAGCTTATGCACCAACAGCATTCCCATTAGTAAACTAGTATAGACTAGAACAGAATGCTGTCTACAGGAACTTGGAGTAGAGGTAGCTGCAAGAGTTCTTAGTGCAAAGAGGAAACCTACAATTTGTAATGTTCAAACAAATGCAAATTACCAAGTGACACCTTTGGAGTCCTTAGGGGGCCCAACACTACTAGACCATCTACTGTGGATTGGTAAAGTAAAAAGGTACCTTCTTCAAGAAACTCTTGCTACGCACAAAACGAAGGGGAGGCTTAAAACCCATTTTTCCCTACTGGGCAAACACTCCCTAGTCCTAACTCATCTCTCTTTTGGAATAAATCACCACCACCACTGTTTATGCAAGAAGCCAGCAGCAGACAGTGCTGAGAATGACTGTCCCAGGCTAGCATGGACAAGTCAAAACAGGACACAGACACAGCAAGATGACTTCTCATAATTCAAAGTAGTCTTGGAAGGAAACAAGAATGAAATCTT